TAGAGACAGAATCTCACTGTGTTGCCCAGGCTGGTCTTGAACTCCTGGCCTCAAGCAGTCCTACTGCCTCAGCCTCCCAAAGTGCTGGAGTTACAGGTGTGAACCACCATTCTCATCCTGGGTATGTTCTAATAGAAGCTTTGAGGCCAGGGGCTGTGGCTCACACCTGTAATCCCAGCATTTTGGGAGGCCAACACGGACAGATTACTTGAGGTTGGGAGCTCGAGACCAGCCTGGCCAACATGGCGAAACCTCATTTCTACTAAAAGTGCAAAAATTGGCTGGGCATGGTGGTGTGTACCCATAATCCCAGCTACTGAGGAGACTGAGAACTTTTTTAAGTTCTGAAAAATTTTTTTTAGAAGTTCTGAAACAAGTTGTCCTTCCATTCCAAGCCCACTACAAGAAGGATCAAGTTATCATTTAAAGTATTTAATTCATTTATTACCTAATTAATCAAAGGCATCAGTGATGCTTTATTTATTTATTTATTTTTTACATTTGTCATTAGAAAGCAACTTACTGCATTAAAATGAGAGACTCAGAAAGGTCGGTATATGACAGCATTGACCGACCGTGGTGGAACTTAAAAGGAGAGGCATTTTAGAAAATGTTTGCTTAGATCATTCATCTTCTTTGTTTGATAGTAGCATGATTAAGAAGAGCAGATAATTTAAAACCTGCCATTGGAGAAGATGTTTTCACATAGACCCTACATGTCATTCTTGCAGCAGTTGTGGTAGGCGTTGAGTCCAGTTCTCTGAGCGTGAGGCAGGGGTGTGGTGACCTGGCTGAAGCCACAGAGCCTAGGAAACAGGAAGCCAGGAGCTGTCCACAGGTCCTCTAAGTGGATGTCTGGTTTCTTTCCCGCCCCCTCGGCTGCCTTCAGGTTTAGAATTTAATCATTTCTGCCTAACTTCAAACGATTGTCCTTGGTGAGAATAACGACCCACCATGTAGCATTGGTGCATCTTAGTAATCTCTGCTCCTTTAACAGCCTTTTGTTTTTCTTTTCAAAACCTTTCTGTGAACAGATTTTGGAGTTTGACTTGAGGGGTATTCCGTTGGACTTTTCATCTTCCCTTGGGATTATTGTGAAAGATTTTGAGACAATTGGACAAAATAAGTAAGTTGTTTTCAACCGTTTTTATCATTTTATGTATTACCTTCTCACTGTTGTTTATTTTGTTGAAGAGACACATCTTTAATAATGTATTATATAGAATACTTCCAATATAAATGTGCTTTAATTCCATGCTCCCCTCCTTTCTGAGCCAATAGCAGACGTGGCTTATCCATCTCAGCACTTTTTCCCGAAAGGCTGCAAACACCGAGCCACCCCTAGTCTATCAAACTTGCTCAGAGTGAAGCCTGTTCACATGCCTGCAACTTCTTTAACGACATTTCCTACCTCTGGTAGTTTATCTGAACTGTAGCAACCCAAATAGCTTCTTCTTCTGTGGCCCATGCACATCTCATTCAAGTTTTACTTCCAGCCCCATTTCCATCTCAATGTCTCCTTCGCCTTTTAATCCCAACAGACCTAAACCAGACTCCTGGACCTACTGGCTCTTTCTTTTCACAAGGGGAAGGGTCACGGTGGTACCTGTGATGACACCAAGGATTGTCCTCCGGGTAAAGGTGGGGGACTTCCCAAACAGGTCCCTGTGGGACAGAATGACCTTAGTATTAATAAATTCACCCTAGGCCAGGATCTGGACTTTGGCCTTATAGACTTAGACCCAGTCTTATGTTACCAATTCAAGCTAACCAAGTTCACAAGAGACTAATGCTGTTTTTTGGTTTTTTTTTTTTTTTTGAGATGGAGTCTCGCTCTGTTGCCCAGGCTAGAGTGCAGTGGCACAATCTTGGCTCACTGCAACCTCCACCTCCCAGGTTC